CCCCAAAACCCCAAAACCCCAAAACCCCAAAACCCCAAAACCCCAAATGTGTGAGCAAAAGTTGAAATTCTAATTTGTTTATTGCTTTAATAGAGGGTTTTCCTGATTTTGATGCACAACATTAAAGCCAGTTGCTTTACAATGATATTGATCTAATAAGAACCTATTTAGTTAGAAAATGAGAGACGAATCAAAAAGAATGGTGGAATCTTATACTAAGCCGTAAAGAGTAATCCACTCATCAGATTTAACATGAAATGTATGATCTTATCACTAAAAGTCTCTTTATTTCCTCCAAGTGGGCATATCTAAAAGAGCATGCATGACTAGCCTAGGTTCGTTTTTAAAGCTACATGTACAGATTAACCCATTCTACTCTCTCTAAGGAGGGTAAAGATAGTTATTTTGATCTGAGGGATTTCCAAAATATTCATTAAACCTCAGATTATTCATTTTAGGAGTTTCTAGCAAGTATTGGTAATTTTAAAGCACCTTTAAGAAGCATCATTAGAATCACTCTCATCAAGCTCTTCAGAACTTGATGAAGACGCACTGGCTGCGTTTCTTTGTCGATGTATCGGCGGTAATTTGTGGCGACTAGGAATAGAATCCTTGCTGTAAGAAGAGCTGTTTTGTCCACTTTCCTCATTTAAATGGTCTACAGAAGACTCCTCGCTATCTGCAGGATTCCTTTTCTTACCATTCTTTGATCTTCTATGGCCCATATTTGGATTAAAACCTTCCTGCACACTTGAGGAATTAGACGAGTAGAATTCTTTATCAATTTTCTTGGGAGAGTCCGTTTCGCCTTTGGTCATAACTCTTGATTTTGACCGATGGAGAAAAGGTTTGAGTTGGTTTGCACAATGCGGACATTGATTCTTGTCCCCTTCAGATTGAGACAAACAAAGAGAATGGAAAGTGTGCCCTCAGCTGAGGAGGATAATCTTTTGGTTTTCAGATGCAAATTTTTCCTCTCATTTTAATCATTTTAGGCTGATATCTTTCTTCTTGAAGCTTTTCAGAGTATTCTCATTCTTTTCACGTAAATCTCTCATGTATTCTTTGTATTGAGTATGATTGTCAAAGATCTTTATCATCAAGGTGTCCATTGAGGTAAAGTTTAGTGTATTTGGCCTTTTCTCTCCTCTGTGATTCCAAACATTTTTATCCTGTTCAGTTTCTTGAGTGTTCTTTGAAGCATTTCTTCTATTGATAATTGCTTTAGCAAACAAAATTTAAATTTTTAAGATAATAAAAATGATGAATTAAAATCAGGATTTTATTTACAAGTGTTCTCAATTTGAACTCCAAACAAATCAAAATTCAACTCTTTAAAATCCTTTCATATTCACTTTGTTTAAATTTTACTAATCTTCCTCTCTCAAAAATCTAAAATATCAGATTTTCCTTCAAATTTCACCTTCTCCTCAAACCAACTATCTCACTCAACCTAAACTATCTTCTAACCTCATTTTAATTAACAAAACAACCTTAACCATACCTTTTTCTACTCTTTAAGCAACAATATATCAAAAAAATCAACAGTACGAATCATCCTAGCGTCAGAATCAGCACCAGCACTCCCATCAGCACCTGAAACTCAGTTTTATCTTCAAAAGCCATGCTCTCTTAATAATTTTATTTATTAAGTTGTTGAGGGGTTTTGGGGTTTTGGGGTTTTGGGGTTTTGGGG